GGGACAGTTTTATGGCCTGCAGCATGCAGGGGGTCAGACCAGATGATCATAATGGTCCCTTCTGACCTTAAAGTCTATGAGTCTATGAGTCTATGAGAGTCTAGGCTCAACATATAGGTTCTGAAGCTTCTCCTCCCTAGACTCAATGCCTAGGGACTCCACAATGTCAAAGCATAAGGCAGATTCTTAACTTGAAGGGTGGCTTAGAATGACCTAAAGTTGTTTGACTGTTTAATCTCGCTCCTTAAGTCTGGCACTGAAGGTAAGAAGGACTAGGCTTCACTATCAAATGGCTCATCATCCACATAGCAGAGGCCTCAGGGCAGAACTGAGGTGCCTCTGAGTGATTCTGCTCTGTGGTACCACAATTCTTCATCAAAGCTGAGGAAGGAGAAGCAGAGCCATAAATTCTATCCTACCCAAGACTGTGCCTAGCATGATAGTATCACAACTTCAGTGTTGTCTATTGAAGTCTATCTAGTTTCTTATACTGCACCTATTAGCACAGTGTTTGATTCCTAGGCATACTTTTTAAACAGCATTACTTCAGACTTTGTGTGGTGGAACACAAATCAGCACTCCCGTAACTGTTAGTCAGGTGAAACTGTTCAAGTCTGTATCCTTTGTGTATAACATTTGCTTATTAATCACCTAAAGTGGCACCTCGAAGGGGAAAAACAGTACTTGCCATAGTAACAGTGATTCTTGAAGATGATTGCTGGTCTGAAGTCATACTCACCTTCCTTCCACACTATTTCAGAATCCTATTTTATGCTCTTAATTTAGTAGAGAACCCAGTGGCAGCTGGAAAGCTGAGCCCCCTTATGTATCACCAGGAAGGCAGGGGGCATGAGGTGACAGGTGGGATATATGTGTATCCCCAATAGACACTGCTATTAGGGTTGCCAGATGTCTGTTTTTTCACAGGAACACCCAGTCAAAAAGGGACCTGGCGGCTCTTAACAGCCTGGTCAATGGTGCTGACCAAAGTCCGATTGTTCCTGCCTGCTCTGGCTCTGTGAGGTTCCCAGAAGCAGCCAGCACATCCAACTCCCTAGGTGCAGGGCAGCCAAAGAGGCGCCATGTGCTGCCTTCACTCCAAGCCCTGGCTCCGCAGCTCCCATTGGCTGGGAACCACAGCATCCATGAAGCCAGGATTTCACTCAGTAAAAGAAGTTGGCAGTCCCAAAGATAGTACCATCTATAATCAATAAACAAATAACTTTTAAAAGCCAAATTTAGGAACAAATTCTCTTTATCAACACAAAGTTTGAGTAATTAGGTTTTCTGTGTGTGCAGTGCATAAAGGCTGCAGAAGAAAAATCCAATTCCCCAACCAAGTCACAAGGCTGAAATATGGTCTTTCCTGCTTTGCAATATTATTCCCTATGATCTGAACCATTGACATAAGGTTTTGAAATGTTTCAATCAACATATTCAGTTCCACCAAGACCATCACTTTGCAAGTGGTTAAATGATAGAGGGACCTTCTATGGGCCCTGTGCACCTGAATGAATTTTATTCCACTATATCCTGGTGCTCAGACAAAGCACAATTGTAAAGAATGTGTGTGAGGGCTGAGCCACAAAATCAAGACCTCTTTTTTCCCCAGGGTATCATTTGCTTTCTGAGTTCTTATTCTCTGAGATGGTGATAGAAACATGTGTGCAGTCCTATAATTATCATTATATTCAACAACTGGGAGCAGAGCATCCTGAAGTTTCTATGTTTTGATGTTAAGGATAGAAATTATTACTACTAAAAGCTTAAAAAAATAGAGCAATCTGTGCCTTTTCTTCATTTACCTATACATATGCTTGGCTGAATTGGACTGCTTTGTCTTAATGGGAGCTTGAACCTACATGTGTCTGCAAAAATAAAATAAATAAAATTTGCCTTCCCTTTTTGAGATGCACAGTGCAGTATTTTTAATTCCCAAAGATCACTGAGCCATCAGAAAGGCAAAAGCCTTTTTTTAAAACCATGAAGATTATATTTAAATGTTTCAAGTAAAAGCTTTTGTAACCATCAAAACTTGCACCTCCTTAAACTAGAGGAAGAAAGGAAAGGTGAGTGAAAGGGTCCCAAATGAAAAGTGGCAGAAGGGGAAGGTTATTTTTCAGGTAGGAGTTAGGTAGGTTTCAGGATTTGAACTCACTTGATTAGTAGACACTCAGTAGTGATATCTTGATTCTTGTCTCCCTTTCCAGTTCAGGAAGTTTTGTGGGAGAGGGGAATCTGCAGCCATACTTCATTTCCTTCACTATCTGATCATCCATAAAAAGGTGGGGAGGGGAATCGTAAGAGCAAGTCCCTAGAGAAGGTGGAGTGCTTCACTAAACCTGGGTTCTAGCTGTAATGGGAGAAAAATGACAAGATCTCTCCAGAGATTTTCAGTGAAGTAGAAGATGTACAGACAGTGATGCTTATGGTAAAGACACAGCCAGACTTAAAAAATAAATAAAAACATATCAACTGTAGACTGCCCTATCCTTTACTTTGTCCCATTCCTGACCATTGTTGTCAAGGGACTGGAGAGGAAAAGTAGAGTATGGGACTAATAGAAATGTGTGTTTTGAAATATGCTTTATTGGCATCTGCTATTCAGAATGTGAAGGTTGAGAACACTAGATTGTTACATAGCTGCCACAAGTCCTTAAACAGACACATCAGAGGAAGCTGCTTTATCCAGTAGGGAAGAACAGCAGGTCATGTAAATGATTAAAGGCTCTGTAAGCTTACAGCTAGTGGAGAAGAGCTGAGAATCATTGGTGTTTTTTATTTCTAGGACGTGCAATTGCACAACTAAGCAGCAGGCAAAGAGACGGTCAGAAAGGGTGGCACACAGGCAAAGTCAGCCTGATCATCCAGGTCAAAATTTTCTAACCTGCAAACCCCACATATTCAATTTAACATTTCACAAGAAAAAAAGGTTTCAACCTGAAGAAGATAATTGTAGTGGCTCAATACTGAAGGATGAATTATCAAAGGAGCAAAGAGAAGCCACAAGATGAATTAGTCTGCAAATAATTTGGGAGACAAGGTAAACAAAACACCTGCAGGACTGAAAAACACCTATGTCTATTTGATGACTGGGAAATGAGTTACTTTTGCTACATGAAGTTTTTAGGAGTAATTCATTCTTTTTGTGATATGTAGTTTAAGATGAACTAAAGGATACACTGCAGTCCACTAGCTACCGAAATCCTGCATTAAATCCTCTTCAGTTCCTTTTAAAGGCATCTGTGGAGCTGAACAGTAAATTAGCTAAGAATCCTACCATGGACCTCAAAATCACAGCTGGAAAACAATGCATTCCAGAGCTTGGCAGCTGGATCCTGTCCTGACAAAATATAGCCTATAAATGGTCAGTCAGATGCTGGCTTTAATGCTGAATTGCATTAAGTATAAGGACAAAATAGAGTAAGATCAATACCACCAGTAGCGGAAGAATGCAGTGCCAAGTTGGGATCAGAATTAAAGTCAAGTGCCAATTTGCCTTGTAATTGTGTTGCTGTTTTGAAAAGACAAAGATGGAAGTTTGTACAGTAGCTGCATAGTTGGGTAAATCAGATCACTGAGGAGTGGTGTGATTTCTAACATACACGAACGTGCTGCACCTTAATTTGTCCACGTAGACTCTGCTGATGCACACTAAAGGCTTCCTAGTGTGCTTTTGCATAGTGCTAACACTAGAGACACTGTAGTGAACACCAGCACAGTCTACACGGACCAATTAATGCACAGCACAATTGTGCGCATTACAGATCGCACTCCTGTAGTCTGCATTACTCCACCATATGACAAACCCTCAGTTTCAGCTGGATGGATGCATGTGTAACAAAAGAACAAGTGTTTGTTTTCTGAGGCTTTTTGTTTTAGAACATTGCAGTGACTTGTCAACCTAGAGTATTCAACATTCATAGGGCAGTTGGATGGTGTGTTTTCCTGGATTATGTATTTGAATCAGCAATATTAACATGTTTTTCTTTGAAAGATTGTATAGTGATTACACTAAGTTTGATAGTATAATAAAGACCCTAATTCTCATCTTTATAAGTCAATGTAACTAGGATCTAGTAACTCTGGTAAGGTAAATACAAATAATAAAGTGCATGTGTAAGAACACTGAGGCTTTGGCAGAGACAATAAATTATGTAGATTTCAGCCAAAGCTTCTGCAATAAGGCAGCTCTGTTAAGCAGCCTCATTGTTCTTCCCCTTTTTTTTTTTAATGATTTGAGCTCAATTTTTCCCCACTCCATGCAGTGCAGGATTCAAGTTGCACAACACACAAACTATTTGGAGGTACTATGGATTTAGTGGGGTGGGAAAAGAGGGTTTGCCCATCTACTCTGAAATCAACAGTTCCCTAAGCATGCTATACATTTTCACTTGCCTCAGTAGGGGTGCACTGGAGGATATCTAATTTTTTCAGTCATCTCATTAGATTTCAGTAGCTTTTTTTGTACTATGTTTTGTGTCCTGTAATCAACAAAGAACTAAAATATAGTATAGTAACTCCTCGCTTAACATTGTAGTTATGTTCCTGAAAAATGCTACTTTAAGCAAAATGATGTTAAGCAAAACCAATTTCCCCATAAAAATTAATGTAAGTGTAGGTTTCAGGGAATTTTTTTTGCCAGACAAAAGACATTATATACATATACAGTATAAGTTTTAAATTTTAAACAAACATTTTAATACTGTACTCGCCAATGATGATTGTGAAGCTTGGTTGAGGCAGGGGTGTAGCGGGGTCAGGGCATGGGGTCTTGCCCCGCTCCACCTGCCCGGTGTTGCAGCCGGGGAGGGGGTTCGGGGCGCAGGGGCTTGGCCTGCTCCACCCGCCCGGCGTTCTAGACAGAGCTGGGAAGCGGGCAAGCACGGGGTGGGAGGAATGGGGCGAACTAAACAACCTTATAACGGAACTTTGTGCAACTTTAAATGAGTATGTTCTCTAATAGATCAGCAACCTAATAACGAAACCGGGACGACTTTAAGTGAGGAGTTACTGTATTAGAAAAAAATTATTTAAAAGTCCTTTAGAAATAAAGCCTGGTACTGCTAGAGTTTGAGGCCCTTTGAGTCCCACTGAAGGACAGCAGTCCACACAAACTAATATGTAGTTGACAGTGTTTTAAAAAATGTCAAAGGACACTTCACTAAGTAAGCTGGGGTAGGGCAGAGGGAGGGAGTTTGAAACCACTGGGCCACTGCCCCCAGCCACTGGAGAGTAATGTCAGTGGGAGTTGAGGGTTCTCAGTGCCTTCCAGGAGGCCTCAGCACCTCACAAGATTGATACTGCAAAGATCTATGTTAATAAAAATCATTGCTTGCACTGAAGAGAGTAAGGAAGGAGTGGGCTTGCCTGTATTGATTAAGCTCATCCCCCTTTCTAGGTGTTGTCTGCTATACCATCTTTTGCCAGGAACTATTTTTATCTTGGCTCATAAAGATATTTATGAAAAACAAATACTTTACCTTAGAATTGACCATGTATCTGTCATGTCCAATAGTTTAAAAAAAAATTGGGAACCTGCTTTGCATTGCATCACTATTTCATTGGATTTCCCCAGTGTAAGGGAGATCCTCTGGTAATACAGATATTGGTGTAGGCTCTTAAACCACACCCCAGTAGCTGCTTCTGTGTGGGCATGGCTATGACATGCCTAACTAAGTCCACCCTTGACTGCTGTTTAATTATCTTGGGGCTGTTAGCAGCCCGTGCATATTTAAAAAAAAAAAATCAGTTAGGCAGCAATTATGCCTGGGGACCAGCTCTGTACGCAGTAACCCCAGGACTGAGGGAGTGCAAAAGTAAGTTTCATGCCAACTTTGCCCTACTCAGGACTTGCAGCATGTGCTACTCAGCCATGTCCAAAGGTCTGACCCTTTATCTCTCTTCTCTCATGCAAATTACTCATTATACACTGGATAAAGTAGTAGATAATGGTGGCTCAGGCATAATTTAACTCAAATATTGAAAGCTCTTAATTAGGGCCATCATAATGGACAGTTACAGAAAATAATAACCCTGGGGTAATGGGAAAATTTCTGATGTGGATTAAAATCTTGTAAAATGGTGTTTGAAAAGACAGACAAATAAATAAAAGGAGAGAAAACAATAGGGAATTATTTTTCAAAGGGGAATGACTCATTCCTAAAAACTGACTTTTACAATATACAGTTGAAGTGGGGGTGGGGGGGTGTGACGTTGATGAAGTTTGCTGTTGACCCTAAATTGCTCCCATTATTAAAATCTCCAGATGCATTTAATTGCGTTGTAGATGGGTGGCTAGAGGAATAGTGGGATTTATTTATTCTGTCTTGTCACTCGATACAAAACTGGAAGTACTTTACTATGATGATGAGGGCCATATAAGAACATGAATAGAATAAGAGAGGGAAAAACCTAAGTATATTTTGTCAGAAGCTAGAACTGTTAGAATTAACTTGATCGATGGTCTTAGAATTATGGAGGGCAGAACAAAACATTATCTGTCTCTCATTTCACTTTGTCCCAATAGATGAAAACCAAGATGACGCCTGAAAAAAAGTAAATATAGATGATATATTTGTAACTACTTGTAACTTTCTAGACGAAAGTGATGGTGGTGTTTTTTTCCTTTGTGTTCACTATATTTACAAGAACAAATCAATCATTACAATGTACCTGCATGTAGTAATTTGAACTTCAGTAGTGAAACTACTTGGTATGTTTAGTGAAAAATGAGAAATAGAAATATGAATTCAGAGCTACGATAAGAAACACACATCCACTGAAACAATGAAGCTGTACTTGCTTCCACCAAGTCCGAATATGGCCTTTAGTCAATAAAGTAAGATAATACAAATTGTTTTTGGTCAAATAAATGTGTCCTTTTCCTTTTCTGTCTATGTAGCTCCTGAATACAAGACTTTTTCCCCTTAATTCCATGATGGTAGAAAATGGGTATGCAACTTCCAGATGGAATGTTCGTTTCAACACTGATTGATTGGCACAGCTTCCTACCGGAATATTTGCATCAGTAAAACTAATTTTACTCATTATACCTGTGTTGGCAGTAATGAATTATAGTTTTAAGTCACAAATATCTATGCAAATGGCTACAGATGAGAGAAGGGAAAAAATGCATGTTCTGGTCTTCCCCAGATGTTTCAGTGTTCACTATCAGGTAGCACAAATTCCTTTTTTTTCCTGCCTAATTCTCATTTGTATGAAAATCCAGAAAGAAATGAAAGTACTGTATTAGCTGTATTGGAAAAAATGTTAAGTCAATTATACTACTGCAAGATTTATAAGAACTAAAGTGAGTTTAAATTTGAATTGTCAAAGGAAATTTTACATGCATTAACCACTCAGTAAAATCCATCATATGTATTTAATTATGTACGGGGTTTTGAACCACCATCTCCAAAGCAGCGTAAAAAAGAGTTTTTTTTCTTAAACTACTGTTCATAGGCATTGCTGTAAATTATACATGTAAAATACTCTGTTTTAAAGTTGAGGTCTCTCCAAAAAAAAAAACCTACTGTGCATATACTTTTATTCCTCTCCTGGCAGCGCATAATGTAGTAAGATAAACTTTCCCCTGTTAATGTTCAGCTAGATGGGTGTTGCCAGTCATTTAAGGAAATGCTTGATATTTTAAAATGTTTAATAGATGCAGAAAAGTGTCATTTTGTTTCTAAATATTAGATAAATCAGAAATGAGGTTTTTAACCCTCTTTTTGCAAGGAAAAATGAATATGGTCTGATTTTAATAACCTGAATATTAAACAACAATTAGTGTGAAGCAAGGAGAGTCTTATTAATGCTTCATAAGTATTATCTGTCAATCTAATCAATAACATTTGTTCTTAAATATACTTTTCATTTGTCTTCAACTGTCTCCATTGCATACATACTCCCTTGCAGTTTCCAGGAAATCTTTCTGGTCTCTAAAAATAATAAGTAACGTAAATAAAACTCAACCAGCATGTTAGATTCCTTCGTGTGCATGATCTGATATGTCCCTCTATGTGCAGGTCTTATCCCACTCCTCTCTATAATGTGAATTCTTGTGAGCAGGCAGGCTACTGCAGTGTATGTGGATTCTGCTGTTTAGAGTCCTGTTCTCCTCCAATTGACCTCACGGCAAAACTCCCATTCAGTTGAAAGGGGAGGTAGATCATGTCCTTGCAGACTGGGCATCACTGTATCTTTCAAATTAATACTCTGCCTTCTCTGAGAAGTGGAACAGTAAGGCAGAGTAGTGAGACAGCCACAAAATAAAGCTGACAGACTAACTGTAGGCCTCCCAACGTTGATAGCGGTCCTTTAGACATTTTGAGATTAGTTGATTAAGGTTCAGACAGTGAAACAGTAAATTAATGTTGATTTTGGGCCTCCCAAATTGTACAATGCAAACTCATCAACAACAGATAGACCCAAATATACACAGCTCACTTTCTGAACAAGTTGTTTTGTTTGCCCGGATTTCTTAGGGTAGAAATACTCAAATAAACTTAGCTGTCCATTATGGTACCTTTTTGTGTATGGGTTCACTGGGGATTAAGCTAAGAAAATTATGTCCAGTTGTATAGTTGGTTTTTTTCCCTGTGCTCTCTGAGGATTAAATTAAGAGAAGACAGGGTTGCTTTTTCTACTAAAGGCAAATGATTTATCATTAAACTGTTGTGGTGCCCAGTCCTTCTCCTTGCTGATCTCGTTTATTGTCCCAATGTTCCGATACAAGAAAACATTACTATCTGTGAATAAAAATATATTACTGTGCATTCGGTCTTTGCAAAGCATTTTAAGTAGCTGCTATTATGATTTAATTTGCAGGACTTCTGTGCTTAATAAGCTTTCTGTTTAAAATCCAAGCTCTGAGCTTTCTAAGAGCTACGTGGTCTACATGTTAACTCTTTGCAAATAGCATCTGAATAACAGGCAGGGACACACATTAGGAGCTGCCAGAATTGTGTTTGTTGTGGCTGCCCCGTTAGCTGATGCTTGAACAGCTTGAAGTAGAAGCGTATTGATCAATTAGTGCCAGCTCAAACAAGAAGTATGCCAACCTGAAGGGGAGTTAAGGATGAATGCAGAAATGGGCTGTAAGAAGTGTGCATTTGTGGTGATGGAGGGGCAGGACAAAGCCATTTAATATGCAGTCATGAAACAAATATTTGGTTGTGATTAATTTAGTTCACAAATACAGTAGCAGGTTGTTAGTTTCAGGGTGTGACAGTCAGATTATAGTACTCTGCTTTACATTATTTTATGGATCTTATACAAAGTTGTTGCTGTACAAAATAAATTGTTTTCATACATGCATTTGTAAAACATGGCATGTTGATAAGATTAAAATATAAATGTTTCTTTTGCATTAGATTTTTTCCCCTGTAGACCTAAAAGTAGTGATGATGTATTGTGAACGCATTAGGCCAAATTCATCCCTGCTGTAAACTCTGTTGCTTGAAGTGGAGTTAGAGCAGTAGCAGTACTGAAATGTGGTCTACAGCCTCCAACATCCTTTATGTACACGGAGAAAATCACTCTAATTAGGAAGAATGTTTAGATGCCAACTGTGGAGAACTTTTAATGGCATTTGTCTCCACAGTGCATTGTTGTGTTGGGAAACTACATGTCTGTCTTTTTTTTTTTTTTTTTTTGTTCTTTTCATTCTGTCTTTCTTTGCCTCTAAAGAAAAACAACCAGTTACTTTTTACTCAGAGCACTTGAATTTAATCAAACATTATTCAGTAGAGAAGGCAAACTGTTGTATTGTTTAGAGCAGGAAAAAGAATTAAACAAGGAAATTGTCCCTCCTCCCAAATAAGTTAGGATCTTTTGGGGCAATATCCTTGAATCTGTTTGTGCATCTACTAACATTACTTGGGTAGCATGCCTTTCATATCTAAACATTGGTAGTAAACAAGTAATGACATGAATGTAGAAATGGTATAATGTGGCTTGTAGGCTAAGTGGTTATTGAAATAAATCTCTTATTTGTATTTTTCTTTTCCACATAAATTAGCAGGAAAAAAGTGTTACAGAATATACGATGAAAGGTCCATTAGCTGGCATACAAACTGTTATAGTAGCATTATTCAGCTCAGAGGGAGGAAATGGCATATAATGACACAGGGAAGGTTAGTTTTTATAATTAGAAGAATTTTTAAAAACAAACGCACACAACCTACAACCAGTAAGAAGCAATCTCCTGATTACCTGTGATGGTATGGAGGAAAAAAAATGTTAATTCCCCCCCCCCCCCCTCAGAGAGAATATCAGTCCTATTGATAAGAGATTCCAACAGATAGATTCCTCAAGCGCTATTGAATTGCCCAACTCTGTTTCCTAACTTCACCTATATTCTTCAAGTCTTTGAAAGTATTTGAATGTCCTATGCAGTACTAGATCAATTTGTAAACCCTTCTGCTTGGTTAATGCAGTTTGGAGCTGTGGCAAAGTTGGAATTTTATTTAATATTTATATGACTCCTAGGCATGCCTCTATACATTGCATTTCTACCCAGGGGGTGCCAAAGTATTAACACTGCTCCTGGAACCACACAAGAGGCATAAAGTGTGTGTGTATATATATCTATATATAGATATATAAAATAACCTTGCTGTCTGGGAGGAATGATTACAGTCCTTTTAAAGAACTGGCTCAAATCAGCGGAGGGTCCAGCAATTTGGAGAGATGCCCCAGTGACTGAAAAATGAACACGTAACAGCAGGAAACCCTATCAGGCAGAGCTTGGGAACTGAGGTGGGGAGCAAGATGTCAGGTGACTGAAAGAAAGGGCTTTTTGGAGGGACTCAGGAGACTGGGAGAGACAAGAGGGGACAAGTAGTAGTTGTGTGGCAGGAGTCTAGCTTGGCTGGATTCACTGCAGGGAGCCATGGAAAGAAAGGAATCGCTAGTGCCGAAGACCTAGTCTGAGCCTTGGAGGCCACAGGCCTGTCCCTGTGAAATTGTGTGGCTCCTTGGGGCCTGGTACACTAAAGGGGTCACTTCCAGGAGACTGGTTACAGGCTGGGGCATAGACTAGACTGTGTGACAGATGCAATGCAGTCAGTTCTGTTTCAGCTATGGTTACCACTTTGGAAGGATAGAAACATGTTCCAGAAATGGTAAAATAGAGAAATTGCATTACTTGTAGACTAAATGTAGACGACATTTACAAAATACATATTGGGCTAACCTATATAATCTGTTAGTAACTTCTCATAGACAAGTTTTCAGTTGGCTTTAGTATCATAGTACACCTCTACCCCGATATAACGCAACTCGATATAACACGAATTCGGAGATAACGCAGTAAAGCAGTGCTCCGGGGGGGGGCAGGGCTGCGCACTCCAGTGGATCAAAGCAAGTTCGATATAACGCAGTTTCACCTATAAGGTGGTATGATTTTTTTGGCTCCCAAGGACAGCATTATATCGAGGTAGAGATGTATAGCAGAGGTGTGCCTCAAAATGCAGTAAAGAACATACAAAAATTCTCTGGTTCATGTTGCTTATGTCAAAAAGAAGTCTGACCTGGATTTCCCTTAGATCCTTTACCCAAAATGTAACTTTTAAATCAAAATTGATAACACTTTCAAAAACACTTAAGTGACTTTGATTTGTCCTGAAGTGTAAGATCCAATGGGCTTAGGCTCTGAAAGTCACTTTTACCCAATAATATTAAAAGGAAAAGCTCGTTAAAATGCTACATTAAGAGGCAAGTAAAATTTGTCATGAAATACCTTACTCTCCCAACTTGCCACATGTAGTGTTAATTATTATCACAATTAATTATTTTATAGCACTTCAAAGTGTGCTATACTATATATGAACCATAAAAAGATGCAATTCTGTCTCTAGAAGAATAGACAATCTAATGATTAAATGTGATGTGACTGTGGGTAACATAGTAAGGGAGCAGGATAGAGTGACACAACACAAAGGTTGCTTGGCTTACATGTGCACTTAGTGGTAAAGTTCTTTTTAATGTGTAAAAATAAAGGATAAAAGGAAATGTTTGCTGATT